TCTCTCTCTCTCTCTCTCTCTCTCTCTCTCTCTCTCTCTCTCTCTCTCCGCTGCTACTCACCTCTAGCCCTACTACTAACTTATGCGGCTATGGCCGCCTTCCCTCTCAGTGCAGCGCTGCCCAGCAGGGCTCTCGTGTGCATGCTACTCGCAGATAGCGCACAAGCACTTCAGCAGCACTTCCACACCTCTCACGAATGAGCAATCTCCCTGAAATGTGGCTGGGCCACATTTCAGGGCTGGCCAGTCCTTATATTGACTTGGACTGAGCCTCAACTTGTCCCACCCTCTGCTTCCTTTGGCTTGACTTGGACCCGCCTGGTACCACATGCCCACGGCCTGCTTGCTTCAGAATGTCAAGTCCTGGTGTACTTTTCCCGAATTTTCATTGGTGTGCTGCTGCTTGAGTCTGTGAGTCACAGACTTTTCATCCTTGGAACATGACTTTTGACTGTGGGATGTGACTCTGGCCTCTGGGACACGACTTTTCCCTGGAGAAGTGTCCTTTCCCTGTGGGACATGACTTTTCAATATGACCTTTCAATATGAATTTTCAATATGACTTTTCAATATGAGACGTGGCTTTTGCTTACAGAATGCAACTTTTGCCTTTGGGATGTGACCGTTTACCGGGTGCCTGTTGGACTTGCCTCCTAAGATACCGGTTGTGACTTTTCTGAAACTGACCGACATGGCCTCCCTTGGCCTGAGACCTTATTTTGGGGTCTGCATCATGGAATACCTTTCGAAAGAAGCGTCTGATCAAGTTGAATCTAATAATATATGGATTCAACAAAGGGGAGAGCCGCCAAGTGTGAGCAATGGATGAGTGACGGGGGAGTTGACTTTGGGCCCTTTAGGTACATGGGAGTGTGCAGGTGTTTTACAGTTTAAATTTACCATTTTTTTTCCCTAGGAGCTGAGCCCAGAGTGCCTTGCTGGTGGTGATATGGGTGCTTTTCCTTTTTCTTCTCTCCCTGTTTCCCCCCCCCCTCTTTTTTTGTAAGCGAGGGTTCATAGCCCCCAAAGGTTATTTTATCCATCTCTCTTGTGATCAGGATCTGAGTTTTGAATTTTGAACTCATGATCTGATAATCAACAGTTAGTAGTACTTAGTACATGTGGAATAAAAGAAAAAGTAGTCAGTACATGTGTGCTCAAATTAGTGTGTATCATTAAGCCAGATTGGGGTGGGTGCGATTGATAGAACCTTTTAGCGCCTCGCCACACAACACTGACTGTCGAAACACAAAAAGAGCAAATGGACCTTCCCCAGAAAGTGGTAAGGTGCATCCGTTGCTATTGATAGTAACGGATCGAATGGACCTAAGCTTGCCATAATCTGCAGGAAGATGCACTCGTACGAGTTTTTTTCATTTTCATTTTTTTTGACAGTGGTGTAGCGAGGCCCTTAGTGTGGGCTCTTTGAACTCGACCGGTGGAGTGGAAGCGATGATGAACCCCCCCCCCCCCCCCCCCCCCCCCCCCCCAAAAAAAAAAAAAAAAAAAAAAAAAAAACGCACACCAGCACCCGCACTCACCCTCTCTCTCACACTCGCCCTCACCCTCTCCCTCCCCCCCCCCCCCCCCCCCCCCCCCCCCAACGAAAAAAAAAAAAAAAAAAAAAAAAAATCAGAAAAAAAAAAGCAGTGCCATTCTCTGCGGGAAGACGCACTTGTACGAGTTTTTTTCATTTTCATTTTTTTTGACAGTGGTGTAGCGAGGCCCTTATTATGGGCTCTTTGAACTCGACCGGTGGAGTGGAAGTGATGACGACCCCCCCGCCGGGCCCCCGGCCCCGATAAAAAAAAAAAAAAAAAAAAAACCAGAAAAAAAGAAAAGCAGCAGCAGAAGTGACCGTTTGTTTGAGATTTGCCTTCATCTTTTACATTTTTTGTCGATTTCTTTTTTTTCCCCCCCTTGTGACTCTTTTGCAGGATCCAGCCAACGTCGGTTTGACAAAAGAGTACCTCGCCGGCCGAGTTGTGGATAAGCTTATACAGTCTGGATGTCAGGACGGAGGCCTTTTTTGGGAAACAGGCTCTCGACAGACGGAACAGGTGAAGTTGTAAATTATGTTATGTGACCAAGCCTCAGTCACGTCATATTTGTAGCAGGGCATACTCACACTAGGGCTTTTCTCCACTTCTCTGTGGACCTAATTGCGGTCAGGTGCATCCAGGTAGGGTCGGCAAAGCACCCACATAGTACACATCCAAAAAAGCTCTGGTGTGAGTATGCTCGCATACGCTTTGGCCAAAAATTGCAGAAGAATTTGACATATTTTGGAAAAGGACTTGGTCAGACTCCTGGACCAGGTGCACACCATGCGCTTTTTGGTCCTACCACCAGTACCTTTGCCGCTTGGAAAATAGCGGGCCTCGGGTAGGCATCCGACCTTTGCAGCGGCCGAAACGAAACGACGGCCGCCGATCAGATTTATCAATGGCAGTCGTCGTCGGGCCCGACCTCCGAAAATTCAGGCGCTTGGGAAAACTGCCAGTTTTCCCTATTTTCCCACGCGGGAAAGGTACTGGTGGTTTGAATGACAAAAAAAGAAAAAGAAGAAAAAGAATTGCAGAGACTCTTCCCTTGGGTTCAGGAGTTTTCTGTAAGGGCCTCGGCGCCTGGCTGCACTTCCCACCAAACTTGTAAAATGAGAATGAATGTTCCACTAGAACATGGAAAGATACACTGCCATTTTTTTTTTGTCTTTTGTTATGATCCTGGCCAATTTCGAAGTATACATTCATCAGAAAGTACAATGCCGTCCAATTGCAAAAAGAAATGAATGAACTTGAGAGGAGAGAGAGGGGAAGAAGAAGAAGAAAAAGTAAGAAAGAAGAAGAAGATGATGTACTCCAGCATAGACCAAAGATAATGCTCTTCTTCTTCGCCAACCAATCTCCTCTTCCTTATCTCCTCCTCCTTATTCAAACAAGAAATAACAAAAATTATGTTGAATGGGTGAACCAGAATCAATGTCCGAATCCCACTTCTACTGCAGGCACAACATGAGGTCCACCATAGCGATAGCCACCCTTCTCCTTCCTCTCACATGTAGGCCGAGGCCATGGCGAACTACTGAGGGCTCAACCCTCCTGTCCAAAGGACAACCCAAAGCAGCTATGTCGCTGCCTTCCTGTGCAAAGGACAACGCAAAGCAGCTATGCCGCTGCTCATTAGGCGGCCATGCCTGTCTCTGTGCCAAACTTCCTTGGTGCGGCACTACCCCAATGGGGGCCTTCCAGATGCAGCGCCTAACAAGGTGATGAAGATGGTGTCCACCATAGCCAGGTAGGTACCTTGCCACTCTCCTCCTTGGTCCTCTTCTCCCCCCTCCTACCGGTAGAGCTCCACCATAGCCAAGGTGGAAGCTCCCGGCTTCTTCCTCCCAGCAGCACTGTAGTACCCAGCGCTACTCCAGCCAGCGCTCCAGCAGCGTGTCGCCAAACTTGCACACTGAAGAATGAGGTCGGGCTCTTCCCTCGGCCGCTTGATATAGCGGCCTACTTGCCTCCTGGGCGGTGACTTCCAGGCCGCTCGGCCTCCCAAGCAACCGGTACCTTCTCCCTTTCGGAGGGAAACATCATTGCAGACTCTGATATTGCCCGTACAGGCTCTAGACTCAGACTGGATGGACTGGTCTACTGGGCCTCTAAAAATGCCAACTTTGTCTTCTTCTGCTTGGCCTCGAGTACCCGGCACATCTACTGCTACTGGGTGCGGTACCGGCCTACCTGCTACTCGAGTGTTTTTCCTTTCCGCTGCTCTAAGTGCCGCGGGCCTCTGGCTCCGCCACTCGAGTGTTTTCCCCCTGCTGCAACCCTCCATGCCACGGCCACAGGTAAGTACCGTCCCTACGGGCCTGCCAAACAAGCAAGTATCCTTGCGGGTCACACACACACTCATACCGACAAGCACTCAGACAGGCGCGCAGGTCAACAAGCACGCACACATACAGACTTAGAAAACTCAGCAGAATGTGGGAATCTCAGGAAGGCATCCATTCCATCGGCACAACTTCAAAAATCAGCAGTGTTCTCAGTCTGTGTTATGGCGGGTCATTACACTTTTGTGCATGTGGTGAGTACTGGAGGGAGGCTCTAAGGCAGCTGCATGAAAGTTATGATGAAACACACCACATGTACACATGCAGTCATCGTAAAAATAGTACAATACTTTTTTTTTTTTAAAAAAAAAAAAAAAAAAAAAAAAAACAGGTTCTTATGACCCTGTCTCCATTTCCATTCTGGGGAGCATCAGTCCGGTTCCTTTTCCACCGGCAAGTTAGAACAAAATATTACATCATGAAACACACTCAGGCTTCCTTCCGTCTGGCCGAAGGAACCCTGACCAGCATTGATTACTCCTGCATAATGGAGGATTGACTGTCAGCTTGCCTTACTTCCACCTTTCCTCTCAGATCCATTGCACAAACCTGTCGGATGACTAATAAAGACCAAGAAAGGTAAGACAAGCTACGGAAGCTACAGTCCCGGAATTTGCCCTTCAATATTATGTGACCTGTGATGGATCTTGTCCTTCTGCTGGCTGGAATCTCTGTCTTCTCCACCCTGCTTCTGAGTTGTGCCAGTTTTTCCATCGTATGTGAGAGACATTTATCTCTGCCACTTTGCCCCTTGCAAGCCACACCTTAGCAGTGCTAAATACCCGGTCCGACCGGGGGGTCCACCCCCAACCGGAACCGGGCCGGTGGGACCGACCGGTCGACCGGTCCGGTTGCCCCCTGGCGGCCTACAGCGCATTACAGGAAAAAGGCCGAAACAATTTTTTTTTGGGCCAGGCTGCCCCCCCACGGGTTGTGGGGGCCTCCTGGCCCAAAAAAAATTTGAACCGGGTAGCGCAGGCCCGCCTATGTGCATCCAAAACGGCGGCCTCTCCGGACCACTGATCGAGGCAGACGGCCCAGATGAGGCCGCCGTTTTGAAAGTTGGAGGGAGGACGGTCCTCCTCGGTTTCCCGCCTTTCAGAGAGAGAGAGTGCCGTCCCTCCGCCACTTTGAGTTGCCCGTCGCCGTTGCGAGTTGCCTGTCGTCGTCGTCACCTGTGGCAGCTCCCGTCGTCCCCTCCTTGTCGTCGCCTCCTTGTCGTCGTCATCGCCCGTGCCAGCTCTTGTCGCTGTCCTCCTCGTCTTCGTCGTCGCCCGTGGCCATTGCCAGCAGCTCCCGTCGAGCGCCGCCCGTCGCCGTCCGTGGCCAGCAGCGCCAGGTCGCGGAGGTAAGTGCCCATTCTCTTCTTCTTCTTCTTCTTCTTCCTTCTTCTTCTTCTTCTTCTTCTTCTTCTTCTTCTTCCTTTCTTCTTCTTCTTCTCACCCAAGATTACCACTTCAGAGAGAGAGAGAGAGAGAGAGAGAGAGAGAGTAGGCGAGTGGGCGCGCGCGCGCACGAATGAGAGAGAGAGAGAGAGAGAGAGAGAGAGAGAGAGAGAGAGAGAGAG